ACAAAGCCGTAGCGGATGCCCGAGGCTCAGGCAGGCCGCGGATGGCAGCTGCCATTACAAGGGCCAGCCCGAGGCTCAGGCAGCCACAGCGGCTGGCAGTGGCAGCAGCAGAGGTGTGATGGGGGCATCACCTTCCCCTGATCGGGTGGTTGCCTCCTGCAGAGGGAGGCCAGACTGTGGCTTAGGTCCACTTCCCAGTGGGGAGTGGGCCTAAGCCGTCAGTTGGACATCCCCTGAGGGCTCCTGGACTGTGAGAGGGGTCAGGCCAGGTTGAGGGACACCTCTCCCCCCCCACCCCCAGTACACGAATTTTTGTGCACCGGGCCTCTAGTAATAATAATAATAATAAATAAAGTGTCCAGCACAGTACCAAACACAAAATGACCTTCAATAAATGTGAACTCCTTGTTCATACAACAGTCCCTCCTTATCCACAGTTTCTCTTACTGCAATTTCAGGTACCCACAGTCAACTGCAGTCTGAAAATATGAAGTAGAAATTTTCAGAAATAAAATATTCATAAGTTTTAAATTTCACACCTTTCTGAATAGCATGATGAGATCTCAAGCTGTCCATGAGTCACCCCTTTGTCCAGTGTGTCCCTACCCTTTAGTCACTTAGTAGTTGTCTTGATTATCATATTGGTTATCAGAGAGAGACCACATTCACATAACTTTAAGTATGTTGTTATAATTACTCTCTTTTATTGTTAGTTATTGTTAATCTCTTCCTGTGCCTAATTTACAAATTAAACTTTATTATAGGTATGTATAGGGAAAAACATAGAATATATGGGTTTCAGTATTATCTCTGGTTTCAGGCATCCACTGGGTGTATTTTTAGGCTATGCTGTGGTCCACCAATTCCCCCTTGGGGTTCTTTCCTTTCCTATTACATAAATAATTGTCATTGTGCTCCTGGTGAAGTTCCTGGTGAAGGTTCAGAATCGTGATCCCTGGGGCACAAGGCCTGACATAGATGACGTTAATGCTCTGATTACAGCCAGAATTCACATGAGAAGCTAAAGACGAAGCCAGAAAAAAAGTCTAGATGCAGGATGGACCTGGACCTTTCCCATCACTTGCAAATGAGCAGCTACTGACACCACTGGACTCTCTCAGGCCAAATGCCCTGGGCTGTCTCTACAGAGAGATTGTCAAACTTGATCTGCAGAAAAGCTACCCAGTTGGGTTAAGGACAGAAAAATAAGTGACTTTGTCAGCAAGCAATGGTAGTAAGCCCAGACGGTGCCCCTAGCCATACTAGGTGTTTGGTGGGTGTGGTACAGGCTCATAGAGAAATATTTGCATAGTGCCCACCAAAAAAAAAATAATAATAATCTATTAGAAGGGGTTTTAAGCAAATCCAGGAAGCCAAGGCAATGATAGACTAGTCCATACAACAATCATGAGGATTTCACCTCCTCAAAGCCATACACAACTTGATTATACTTGAAAACATTTTTCTAGAAAATGGTATCTAATTGTTCTCATGGACTGTTGATCTCACACCTCCTTGTCCCTTCTCTTTCCAAGATATAGGCCATGTTCAGAACAGCACATTTTAGGTTGTTGCTACATAATGCCTACATTGTCAATACTGGCCAAACCCAGAGCAAAGAGTGGGAGTGTAGACTAGTTTTTTTTAATGTAAATTCCTGGGGAATTCCTGGTGTTAAGGAAGAGGCAACTAGTGGTATGGCCTACACATGAATGTGTCCATCCTTCCGAGAAGAAATATCTTTGGGATCTGACACACTGGGAAAGCTTTCTTAAGAAATTTCTACTGGTTCAACTTTGATTCATTATAAAATCACTCTCTTCTCTTTCATGGTGCTTCCTCCCCAGAATCAGATCCCATCCAGGTCTTCGTCTTTGCCTAAAGCCCAACGTTAGAGGTATCCCTCAAAGAAGACATGTGCATTAAAAGGATCGTTAACATACCCAGGGAAAATATGTTTAAAGCATGAAAGTGGAAGCAGTATGATTTGCTTCACAAATTGTTATAAATGGTCTCTTCTGTTACGATTCTAATTGATTGCAATTAGCTTTTCAGGCTATGCTGTGGTCTACCAGCTCCCCCTTAGGGCTCTTTCCTTCCCAGAAACGCCTCACACAGTCCGCACGGGGATGGGGCAGACGTCGAGGGACTGAGCACCAACAGGCATGATCTTGGCAACACTCAGCTTCCCTGAGCTTCAGCTTCCTCATCTGCCAAGTGAGCAGGTCTCTGAAACAGCTTCTCGCCCTAAAATTTTATCTAAAATGTAAAATCTTACACATGGATAAAATAAAAATCGAAAACAATTCGTCCGTTTGAAATTCCCAGTGCTGAAGATTTTGAAGGGCCAAACGGATATTTGTTGAATAAATGGATCTTCTCTTAATTCCCAGGAAGAGTGCACCCCAAACAAAAACTCGGCGGCGTGATTTTAAGTCTCCTACTTCTTGTCTGTAGACGGGTCCGGAATAAATAGCCTGGGAAAAGCAAGTGATTGATAAACCATACCTGACTCCGGCCCCCAGATTTGGATAGTCATTTCTTCAGCCTTACCTTATGGTGTTTAGTTCAGCTTACTGCTGCCTAGAGCATGCCTGGCTGGGCTGAAGGAAATCATGATGAAACAGAAACCTTTTTCAAACAGGAAACTCATTTGGTTATCCTACATTTCCTGTGAGTCCTTAGCAGGGCAGAATCCGCGCATTCCGTCAGCTTTCCACGTAAGTAAACTGTATTTCCCCGCCGCAGGGAGCGGAACAGAGCTCTGATTGTTCCCTCCTGGCTTCTGTTTTCAAGACAAAAGTCTTGAGGGTAAAGTTGCTGGCAGCTGTTATTTATTAAACCAGGCCCTGAGTGTGAATCATCTGGGTTATCAGGATAAATTTGAGTTATTTTCCGAACAGTGATAAGGATCCCATAACATGGCGAGCTGTGAGGCAGAGAAAACCAGTTCACTTTAGCCAGGCCTGGTTGTCCATAAAGGTCCCTGGACCTGCAGAGAAATACAGCTTCACATAGACTTTTAACAGATCTACCTGATGGGAAACCCAAAACTGTGTTCTCCAGGGCCTGCTCCTGCCTCAGCTTTAGGGTTGGCCTCACTTATCTCTCTTCCTCTTCCTTCGTCCGCCACAAGGAGGGGCTGGACCAGGACAGTGAACAAAGAGGGTCTTTGAAATTCTCACCCCACAAGGTGTCCCCCAACAACCCACTTAAAGAGCTTCTGAGGTCAGTCAATTTGGCAAAGCCTCTATGTTCTCTGATCGAAGATTCACAATAGATATTAGCTTATTTATGACCACCAGGGATTTACAAGCAAAAAGAGAAGGGGGTGAGGTTGGAGGGAGAGAAAGGGTAAAAGAGAACAGAGGAAAGGGAGAGAAACCTGTTATATTTATTTCACCCTGCATTTAAAAAAAAACACAAAACACCATTTAGCTACCAAACCTCTTTTTAGTATAAAACTTATTAAGTCCTGCTGAATTTGAGTTCTGAAAATGTTCCCACTTGGGAAATACTAGACCTGATGATCATTGAAATGCTCCTAATTTTGAAAATTCTAAGTTCTGTTTACAGATCTTCTAAAGCACAATACTGTTCATACTCTTCCCTCGCCCAAAATCCACTGTGGCTCCCACCTGCCTAGAAAGTCCTCATTCCTACGCACAGCATTCAACACCTCCCAGAGTGTGGCTCTAACTTTCCCAGTCGTAGTTCCCTTCCTTCCGTCCATGTGTCTGCTTTTTCCTCACTGGGCTTCCCCTGCTCCATCCTTACATCTGCTGCTCTCTCGCCTCTGTGTCTCTGCTCATGCCGCTGGTCCAATTAGGATGCTTTTGTGGCCTTTGCACATACAGATGCAACCCACCTTACTCAGCTCAAACCATCCCCTCCCATGGTGGTCTCCTCTCTAACATAATGGGAGCTCACATGTAGGGCTCTTGTGCTAGACAAGGTACTGGGCTTCTTGTATATAAGCACTCTGTGCCTTCCCCGAAGCTTCTTTCAAGAACAACTTTATACACAGTTACAGGTCCCCTACTTCCTTCCTGGCACGTAACATGTGTTTATTGAAAGAATAGTCTGAAGGATAAATGGCTGGGTAACAGGAATCCCTCTAGGGTAGAAAGAACAATGGTCTCAGGCCCTGAGCCCCAGTGTGGTTCTGCCGTCCGCCCGCCATTTGCTTCTCCGCCTGAGAGCTCAGTGTGCCAGCTCATACAGACAGAGAGGCTGCCGGAGCCACGGGCCTTCCAGGACTAAATACCGTGAGATGCTCTCAATTTATAATCCACGTTACAAACAATCTGAGACAACCCTACAGAATTAAGAATAGGGCGAAAGAGAGCAATTAATGACAAAAGAGAACAGACTAGAAGTCTATTTGAATTTTAATAGAGGAAAAACAGTTAATCTAAAAGAATGAATCTCTGGCATTAGGGGTTTAGGGATCAGTAAGGGACTAAGAGAAAGATATTTTTTAAATTAGAAAATTACCCTGAGTTCTCCAAAATGTCCTCATGAATGGCTACTACTTTATAAGGAACACCTGATCTTAAATGTATACATTTACACTTATCTCTGCAGAAAATACTTACCTGAAAAAATAGCAAATCAAAACTCAAATTTCTATGCAGTGGTTGTCAAAATGTGCTCCAAGCCAGATGTCAGTACCGCTGGGGCCTCCTTCAAAACACATCAGAAACTCGGGGTGGGGGATGGGGGGGTGGTGGAATCTGCGTATTAACAAGGCCTCCAGGCCATGCTGATGCACAAGGTTTGTGTGTAATTCTATTTGCAGCTAAATATGTGTCTATCAACTCATTTGTCAAAGATACAGAAACGTGTGGTTCCCTTTCCACTCCAGTCTGTTATCACTACTGTACAAACCACTTCAAAATGGGGTGAGAGCCAATGTATCTGCTCCCTTCCTTTGACTTCTGCCAGCTCCCCTGCTCCGGCCTCCACGCTTTCACTGATACCTGCCCCACCTCTTACAGCTGCCCAAGCAGATCCCTGCAAACCCCTGGCCTGTGGCGAATTGGCCCAGTGTGTAGAGAACGAGTGGACCGAGGAAGAAGAGTGTCGCTGCCGACCTGGGTACGAGAGCCAGGGGGCCCCAGACCACCAGGGGGGCCTGGGCCGCTGTGCCCCGCAAGAGGAATGTGAGGTCATCCAGGGAAAGGGCGCTCCGTGCAGGTGGGTCGAGCACACCAACTTTATAGATCCAGGAATTTGTTATCTGTAATTCTGAGAAACCTGGCATTAGAATGAATGCATATGGTCCTTTAAACCCACGGTTCTCAAACTTCAGCGAGCGTCAGAATCTCCTGGAGGGCGACTTGCCAAAGCCCACATGGCTGGGTGCTGCCCGGCCCTGTTCCTGGCTCGGTAGGTCTGGGTAGGGCACCAGTAAGGCTGACACTTCTGGTCCAAAAGGCACACTTGGACACCTCTGCTCAAGCTTTCCTACAGTATTTCATTAAGACCAATAAGGAAGAAAAAAGAACCTGTGTTAGCTTTAAGAGAGAAAACCACATGGTCCATACCTTAATTGGTGTGTGTGTGTGTGTGTGTGTGTGTGTGTGTGTGTGTAATACTTGTCTTTTCCCCTCTTTGCAAACATAATAGCTTTCATTATAAGAAAACTGGAAAATATAGAAAATTGAGAAAAATGATAAAAGTCATATTAACTGCTCTTTTCTTTTGATGCACATGAGTATGTAGGACATCTATATAGAATTTTCTAAAGCAAAATGAAATCAGCCTGGCTTCTTGTTTTACAGTCAGCTTTTTAACATAGAACATTCATTCCTCCATGTCACTAAATATTTTCTGTAGCGTCATTTTCAATGCTTACAGGGTAGTCCAGCCTATGGATGTGCTATGATATGTTTAATTAATTCTTCATTTCTGACAGAAAGCTTAAACGAAGCTCTTTAGACGGAGGAAAAGAAGGTGAGCTATCACTGAACCAGACTTTAGGATGGAGGTAGCTGATGAACAACCAGGGAACACAAATGTCCCTCATTCTCCTCCAAGTCCCGTGACACCCAGATAAGATCCACACTGCGGACTCTGCCTGCTGGGGTCCCACCCCAGCGGGTCCAGGGGTCCCCAAAGGTGTGGACGGAGTCGGCGAAGAAGGAATGACACGGAGACAGCGTTCAGTTGATCAGCAGCCTAGCCAGTATCTCTAGCCAAGTTCTGGTCTGGATCTCCAGCAAAGTTCTGGTTAGGATCTCCAGCCAGGTTCTGTGTCCATGTTTTCTTGCTAGGTTCTCCAGACAGGTTCTCCAGGTTCTCCAGACAGGTTCTCCAGGTACTCCAGACAGGTTCTGTAGCCAGGTTCAGTCACCAGGTTCTAGTCAGGTTCTCTTGCCAATTTCTGTAGTCAGGTTCAGTCCAGGATCTTTTGCCATGTTCTCTCCAGCGAAGTTCTTCTGTCTCTAGGTTCTGTGTAGGTTCTGTCTTCTTGGTTCTGTCTTCTGCTGTCTTGTTACATCTGTATTTATACCAGTTGATTCAATCCTATCAATCTCTATTACAAAGGTTAGGGCGTTTCTTATCTCCATTCCAGGGAGTAAAGATTATGTAGCTTAAGCATGATTGTTCGTAGTTAAAGTGATTAATTACCCGCCTGGCACTTAGTTAAGAGGTTTTATTCCCTCCCTAACTTCAGGGGAAAATCCCTACCTGGGGAAACAATCTTTCTCAGAGAGGAGACCTTGGTTAAAACACATAGTGCCAAGAAGGTGAGCAAACATTTCAAGAACAGTATGTCATATATGCCAGGTGCTTTGGGCCGGCTCCCGGCATCTGCCCTCCCAAGACTTCTGTGTGAGCCTGCCCGCCCTTCCCCACCGTGAGCTTCCAATCACACACACGCCAACATTTCCTCACTGGTAATCACCAGGCGATGTCTTTATCTGACTATCCCGGTTTTTCTACTGCTCTCTTACTCATTCTAGTGACCACAGTCCCTAATTTCCAACCCAGGGGACGCGCGGCAATCTTCTTCCACACTCGAGCAACAAGAAAGGAGATTTAGCTTTTTTCTTGATGAAACATACCTTGTTCCTTTAAATTATTCACACTTTAAAGACAACTATACAATAGTGGTTAAGAAGCAATATTCTGGAGTCAAAGTGCAATTAAAATTTTGGTTTAGCAGTTTACTAATCAAGTGATTAGTAACTTGGAGAAATTACTTAACTTCTCTAAACTTCAACTTCCTCATTGGATAAGGGTTACTGCAAGGGATACGTGAAATTGAAACATCTTCACAAAGCACATAAAGCACAGTGTCCCTTGAGGCACATGAGGATTATGATGATGCTATCAGTTTTCTCCTAAATTAATACCAATTAAAAGCCCAACTGGATTCTTTATGGAATTTCACATTCTGGTTCTAAAGTTCCTCTGCAAATGAAAATGTCCAGGAGAAAATCTTAAAGTACAATGATGGGGAGGCCTCTCTGTAAGATAGTAACTCATGAAATAATATTTAAAACACTGAGGGAGATGCAGAGATAGACAACAGATTAATAGGACAAATACAAGATCTAAATAAGTCCTTACATATTAAGGAATTTATTTAACAAGCACTTCAAATCAGTAGGGAAAGTATGGGCTGGTCGATAATGGTTAAAGTACAATTGGCCTTCCATTTAGAAAAAAATAAAATTAGTTTCTTACTACACACAAATCAATTCTATATCGAAGATTCAAACCTAAAATCAAAACTATGAAAGTATGAGAAAAAATATTTAAAATATTTTAAATACTTTTTCTATAGTCTTAGGCTAAAAAGCCTTCCCTGGTTAAGACACCAATCCCAGAAGACATTAAGAAGAGGGCTTCCATAGAGAAAAAAAACACCATAAATAAAGTTAACATACACACAACAAGAGAAACGCATTTGTAACCTTTCTTCTATCTTAAAGGCTGAACATGTATAATAATGAATTTCTATGTGTCAATTAGGCAAACTTCATATTACTAAAATGAGCAAATAAACACAGAGAAGAGATCCGAATGACCAACAAAACAGAAAAAGATGCTCAATCTCACTATGATCAGGGAAATCCAGAAACAATGAGGCAGTATAACTTATTACTCATGCGTTTGGCAGAAGAAGGTCAATAATACCCAGAGTGGATAACGTCAGGGAAAACTAGTTCTGTAAAGCATTGCTGATGGGGTGTAAATAGGAAAAAACTTTTTAAATAAATATTTGTTACTGCCTATAAACATTTTAACTAGATTCAGATAGTCTACTTTTGGACAATTATTTCTGCAAAAATAGTTGCACTTGTGCACTAAGATATGTGTATAAAAATGTGCACAGCGTCATTGCTTTGAACGGTGAAACCACTGGACAGCCCACCAATGGAGGAATAGCTCAATCATCATAGTGTGGTATATTAGTCACGATGGAACACAGCTGTTAAAAGCAATAATATAGCTCTCCTGGAGCTGCCATAGGGAAAAAACCAAGACATTTCATTAAACGAGAAATGTGAATTGTAGGTTCATAGGTCCTGCTTATGTAATAAATGAATAACAAAACTCTATATTTATAATATATTAGGTTCAAGCACATGGCATTGCTATTTTGTTGGTAACAAATCATCCAACATTGGAAGTTTTGTATGGTTCAAGCAAATATGTAACTAAAAGCATAGTAAATACATGATTTAAAAGACACACTCATTTATGATTCCAGTTAACATTGGAAAAGAGTGGAAATGGGGTCCAAGTTTTTTAATTATGAGAATATGTGCATGTATCACTTGTGTAATTTAAAAGGGCCGGGGGTGGCAGGCAGAGAACAGTGGATGAGCAAGATCCTAGTAAGATGAATAAGGAGAAGGGGTTTGCAGGTGGCTTTTAAGAGCAGTAATATATTTCGTTTTTGTTTTAATCAGCCCTATTTGCTGCAGATGGCTGTGCAATTTGTCATTTTAAACATCCCTCTGAAGAAATATCCCTTATCGTTCTAGGTTGTCATAAGTGAAGTCAATAGGGTAGGACACAGGCTGATCGGGAAGCAACAGCTCTTAGGAAGGTTTTCGGGGCTCTGCTCCCTGACCTGTGCCTGCCTCTGGGAATAGATAGCATGACCTTCTGGGGCTCAAATACACCAGAATAAGATGCCCCTTCACTGATTCCATTCAGCAAGCATTTTTGAGCCCCCATGTGCTAGTCACTATGTGAGGTGCTGGGCAATAGATAATAAGGAAGTGAGGAAGCAGGGGAGGGAGGCAGGGAGGAGAAAGACCAGAAGGAGGGAGAGGAAGATACTCAATTTCTTTTGGAGAGAAAAGAAAATCCTCAACAAGAGGACAAACCCCATCGCCCCATGAGCTGCTTCAGAAGGACTCTCAGTGGAGCAGAACCCTGAGCACAGCAGAGCTGAGTCCCTCCCGGATCCCCACCACCTGCTCCCCCTCCCAGCAGATACTTCTGTTGCTCACAGATGCCATCATTTATGTGACTGCAACTTACTTATGGGGATCAGATTACCGAATCTAACATACATTACAACACTGACTAAGATTAGAGGTTTTTAAGCTATACCCAAGTTCAAATTCGAGCTCTGCCCCTAACTAGTGAACTTGAGCAACATCTCCCTCCCCTTTAAACCTCAAATCTCTCATCTGTATTAATGGGAGTAATAGGAATACATTTGCGGGTTAAGGTAAGGAGTGAATAAGAGGCTCCTCACCCTAACCAGTTTGGCTCAGTGGATAGAGCATCAGCCTGCGAACTGAAAGGTCCCAGGTTCGATTCCGGTCAAGGACATGTACCTTGGTTGCGGGCACATCCCCAGTGGGGGGTATGCAGGAGGCAGCTGATCGATGTTTCTCTCTCATTGATGTTTCTGACTATCTCTCTCCCTTCCTCTCTGTAAAAGATCAATAAAATATATTTAAAAAAAAAAAAAAAGAGGCTCCCTCAGCGTAAACTCCCAGCTGCTACCAGCTGCTAGCATCTTTGGAGCTGTTCGATAATTATCAAAAAAGGCAGCCCTGTAAGGAAAACAGATTCCCTACTTGGTACTTAAACCTCAACTCAGAAGCAGATCAGGTGAGGACACTACGTGCTCCAACTCTGAAAGCAACAGCCTCTACAGAACGGTCAGCGTGGCTGCATTTCTGTTATTCTACCCAGTGAAGAAGGAAATAGGAGAATTATATGGTGGGCAAGTGCCTGACTGAGATGAGTCCATTGATGTACAAGGAGCCTTTGCAGTTGGTCCAGATCTTTGTCATTCTACTGACAAGTAACTGTCTTTTGTTATATTTTCACCTTTGTTTTTCCTCCTATTCTTTTGTTTTGTTTTTTTTTAATCCTCACTCAAGGATATTTTTCCCATTGATTTTTAGAGAGAGTGGAAGGGAGGGGGAAAGGGATAGACAGAGAAAGAAACATCGGTGTAAGAGAGACACATTGATAGGTTGCCTCCCACATGCGCCCCAACTGGGGCCAGGGATCGAACCTGCAACCAAGGTATGTGCCCTTCCCTGGGAACCGAACCCTAGACCCTCCAGTACACAGGCCAACACTCTAATCACTCCTATTCTTTTTCACATTCAATATCTATGAGCATAGTGCATACATTTCCCATTTTCCTCAATTTTAGAATATATATATATATATATATATATATATATATATATATATATATATTCAGTTGTTCTAGGAACTTACTTGGAAAAATTCCCTAAGAATAAACAAAATTTCGTTTTCAAAGTTCCCTTTTTTGGCTTAATGATTTTTACTTTTGTTAATCACAACTGTCATCATACATACTCAGAAAATGCAAATCTAGATCTGAGAGAGTAAATTATTTATGACTTCCTCTTCAGATCTAAAAATTTTCACTTTGTCCTTTAATAGGACTCTGTGTTCTTTGTGACATTTACAATAAGAATCACAAACGTAGGGGCCAGATTAAATACCTGATGGTACAAAGTGACTCTTATGAAGAGGGTTTTAGTAACATGAAAGAACCTGTTTTAACCACAGTAAGATCACAGGTTTACTCACGTGCTACTCCTCAGATGTGTGAGGTGGGTGGTGTCCTTTTTCCCCTCTAGTAGCTGTTCCCCACTCTCTTTTGAGCCCTTTTACCGCTGGGTTAAAGAAGGGGAGCGGGGAGGAAGTGGAGTTTAATATAGTCCAGTCCAGTTTTTAAGATTTCATCTGATTAACAGTTTAAGCAATCGCTTCAGGCATCTCAGTTTTCTTGAAATATATAGTCAGGCTCAGAGATCTTCTCCCCTTCCCTTCTCTTCTCCAAGGCGCAATCTGTATGCATTGGGGGAGAGGTCTCTCCTTGTCTCACCAGGTCCTTCGGAAAGTTTCTATTCCCGTATTGTCCTCAGCTGTGAACTCTTAGTTCTGACCTCAGCACCTGCCGCTCCCCGGGTAGTCCCAAAGCCTCCAAATCACCCAACCAAGACAAACTGGAGCAAAAAGATTGCCTTCGCTGGTGGTAGGGGGAACAGGGGACTTGTTACTCAACCTCCTAGAACCATACCTCTCTCCTCTGCCTTCTCCCCATCAAGCACTGGACCAAGATGAGTTTCCCTCCTTCCTATAGTGATGCCCACCTCCCCCCTTTCCCTGAAGTTATAAGGAGCAGAATGTTCAGAGAAAGAAAAGTTTACTGACAAGGGAACATATGTCAGAAAGTATCCCCCAAATATTATGCCCATTTTATAAGGTGAAGAGGAAAAAAGCAAAGTGTAAAATGTGTATATACTGTCCTCAGTAATTACATAATATGTATATATAGAGAGAAGTCTAGAATAATATACATAAAATTTTAAAATAAGTTTCATTTTGAAATTGCACGAACAAAATGTTATTACAGAGTTGTTTTTTTTCAGTAACCACAACTCAGAACTTGACTTGAAAAATAACTCCACTTCTTGCAAGATGAACTTATCATTCATCTTTCCCATGAGCTTTGTTCAACCATCTGAGGCCACTGCCTGGGAAACAGCAAGCCAACTGGAAGGCAAAACCCTGGGGGGGGGGGGGGGGGGGGCGTGCAGAAAGCACACTTCCTCCAAGTCTAACAAAGGCACTGGCAAAATGTGCTGCCCATTTTCACTCATCATTTTCAAACCAAAAGAGTAGGAAGTCGTCGTTGCTGTTAATGCCAATACGCCTGGGAAAGAGAATATCGCGTTTTGCTTTCTTTTGTAGGTCACCAGGTCACTCTAAAAGTCAAGCACACGGAGCTACTGTTAAACGTGCTTTTAAATGCTGGTTTTAATCACTGAAATTTGAAGGACATCTAAAATATTTCTGAGCATGACTCTTATTTTAAATAGAATTAATTAAAAGCACTTTTCCTTTCCTTGCCAGGGTTTTTGATTTAGCATTTTCAAGGGGGGGAAAGGAATTTCCTGGTGCAGGAAGGGTAGAGACAGAAGATTGGCATTAACTGAAATGTGTAGGCAAAACTATAAAATAACAGAAATAATCCGAGTATTTTATAATATGCTTAACCTTTCTTATAAAAATATACACGTGATTTATCAATGCATTTCAACATGGCTGAAATTTTCATAATGATCATTTACATTCCTGGAACTGAATCATTTTATGCATGTACTTATAAAATATCTTTTTTTTATTTCAAATACTCAGCCAAACCAAAATATGTAGAAAAATAATTATGTAGAAAAAGTGATTTGTGAATGAGCAACTTCAAAAATTCCTAAAAGTTCATCCTCAGATAAATGTTCCTTCCAGTGTCCTAGTTACCTCTTGTAAATTACTCATTCATCAACTTACTTTACTAAAAAAAAAAAAATGTATCTGACAAAGGGAAATAATTTATCTATAACCAGGTTAAATATAGCCTACATTGAACTTTTTCAAAATGACTTTGGGGAAAATACCTTAGAAAATGTTTAGCCTGAAATCACCTAGTTTCAAAAATTATACCTAGTCTCTGATGGTAAAAATGAATGATCATCAACCAGTGTCCACCCTAACTGAGATCCATAGTGTTAGATGGAGATGCATCAAAGCTTACACTTGAAACAAGTTATTATGGTCAATATGAAATCAATATACAATATACAGTCACATCAAATGCTAATCATAGTAGCATGTGTCCGAGTACACACTGGAAATAACGTGGGCCATTTTGACTTCCTGAAACAAAGAAAGTTGGAAAGCCAGATAAAGCGCAGACTCGAGCCATAAAATGGCAATGGACACAGGATCTAATATTAACAAAATGGCCAGGATGAGGCAAACACCAACCAAATCCTGAAGTGCCAGGTAGAATTAAGAACCACAATTCAAATGAAGCAGCAACGTGGAATAACAACGTCTGCTATGGTTGGAAGGGAACCTGGTGACTTTCATTCACAAACTATTTGCTACCCCTGCTTCAAAAGAAAGTTCAGCCTGAGAATGTGAATTGGTTTAAGAAGAGATGGATTCTATTTATAGCAGGTTAAAAAGTTAGAAATACTTTGGAAGCATCTTCAACCTTTCAAAAAAGATAGCCTAAATGGCAAGCATAGTCTCATCCATCAGCAGAGGCCATTTTTAAATGAGTCATTGATTTGCTCTTCGATGGCATTTCTTAAGCTCTTAAAATTATTTTCCTTCCAGGTAACCAGGAAAAGAAATCCTGAATCACTGACGGTAGGATATGAAGAATTTAAGCATCAAGATTGGGAAGGAAATTAAAAACTGAAAATGTACATGTTATCATTTAATCTATCTCAAGAGACATGGCTTGCTTTCTCAAGGAAAATTGAATGCACTATGTCAAAATTCTGAAAACGTAGGCAGGCATATTCACTGGTTGTGAGAAGCCAGGCCTACAGACAACACTGAGATCCAGCACGCACCACATTTCAAATAGAGAAGAGTGCGCACTGATGACTGGTACCTTCTGAAAGAAAGGATGCTTATTTATCAAAATCCAAAACACAACCAGTGAACCGTTTTGGCTATTCCTGGGTGATAGCAAAGGAAATAGTAAACCAGGTTTGCTTCCAGCTGCCCTGAAAATCTTGTTCACAGATCATTTACAAGTGCAATCTATTGTTTTGGGGGTGGAAGGTGAACAATATATCAGAAGCAAAGCTCTTCAGATGTTAGAATGTACATAAAAGTTGATTACTTATGCAAGGAGATGCAGGTCTCTACAGGCATGGACATATATAGTAGGTAAACACTGGTGAGGGTATATATGCTCCACACTTCAATATTTGTCACACACACACACACACACACACACACACACACACACACACCTTCAGTTCTTAGGCACATTAATTTTATGAGAAACTAGTAGCCCTGTGCACGGATCCATGCACCAATAGCTCGCCAGTGGCTCGATGCCACCCTCCAGTAGCTCTCTGCCCGCTGCCCCGCTCTCCGGTAGCTCCCCCCGCCCCCTTCCCCTGACCACCCCCCCACCCCCATAGCTTCCTGCCCTGCCCCCTCCTGTAGCGCTCAGCCACCTGCTTGTAGCTCGCTGCCCCACACTCCTGCTGATCGGTGATCAGGTCGTTCTGGGTCGGTTGTTACGCTTCACAGCGTAAAGACCATTTGCATATTACATCTTTATTATATAGGGTTACTGCTTACATGGTAGGTTGTTTTGTTGCCAATAATTTCTGATTGATTTCTTTAAAAGAAAACGTAACGGGAGTTCAGATATACACATCATAGAAAATCTTTTCCTGTTGCTGTATAAAGCTATTTTAAAGGAACACACTATACTGGGAAAAAGTAAGGTTGTACTTTGTGACATAACCAATTCCTGTTTCCACCACAAATGAGCTACGTCTTCCTATAATCTCTTAACTCCATTACGCTAACTCTGGTGTATGCTTAGGTAGGCTGGATCAAGGTGATCCAGTTGAGCCAGTTTTTAATGTGCTGCTTAATGAAACATGAATTCCTCTGTATCTCTTTCAAATGTTCTACTATCAAGTATATTTGCTGCAAAACCTTAATTTCAATAAAATAGAAACACCATATATTCATTCATTGATTTATAATAAAATATGTCTGTGTTTTAGTAGCTAGTCCCTGGGTTTGCGTTATGGATGATAATGAATGATGTCAAGCATGATTTTAATGCGGCTAAAAGAGAGCAAAATATTAAACATTGACAGCAACATTTTAGCAGTAAGCTTCAAAAATAAAAACAAAACCAAATATTTCTCAATAACAGAGACAATCTTTGGGGAAGTGGTATGTGCTCCTGGTTACAAATCCTTAACATTCCCTCATGTTGCTCCAACAAATGTATAAATTTCATCCCTATTCCCACCCCAATCCTCCCCCAAAATGAGGAGCTATGATATCTGACAAGGACTTCAAACTGTAATGTGGCAATAAAGGGCCACAAAGCAAAGAATGGTGGCAGGAGATGTACCTGCTCACTTCCACGTCCCTGGAACTTCCCAGAGGAAAACATGCTTGTTAGAAATGATAGGTGAACCGAATGTTCATGAAAAAAAACTCATCAAGAGAAAATGAAAACCTAATACTCTCATCTCCCATTATGTGCCCTTCACTGCCTACATCTCAGTTGTGTTCTAACTACTGCAGAGAAGGTGGTTTTTGATGGGGAAAGAGAAATAGGTAAACCCTCCATTGTGTTTGAGCCAAATGCCTCTCATTCTTAGGATCACCCACTCTTTAGACTGGTCTTTTCAAACCAGCCAGAGAAGGGCTGTGGAGGCTAGACAGCTGAGTCCCTGCACATTGAGACGACCACCTGGGTCATGGTAGGTCCCAGATGAGAGGAATGAAATAGCCTACGTAAACCAGGCGTATTGGAAGGACTCTTCTTTGGGGCCCCAGGTTTTACATCCTGTGTCACCTCACAGATTGGTAAGGGCCTGGGGAATGTCCTCTCATCTAGGCAACCGAGGAGTTGTGGCTCACACAGCTGCTTGTTCCCTGGATGGAAACCCCATAGGAGTTTGGGCCGAAGCTCCAGCTTCGATTACCCGAGTTCCTTGCCTCTTCCTACAGCACCCAGCACAGGGGATCCAGCTCTTGTGACTGGATGAAGCTTCAGAATCCCAGATTCTCACATTATTCCATCTGAGACATGGGGCAACAAGTGCAACATTGACAACTTTAAAAAACTGATTGCACCTGGAACTGTATTAAAAATACAAGATGCAGGGGGAAGTTCTACATAAAAAGTGTTTATTGTTTTTATTTCCAGTACATCAGTATTTCAGGAAAGCATTAGATAGACATTTTTAAGGAAATGAGGAAAAATTAGGTATCAGTTACAATGAGATGAATTTTCTAAAGTAAAAAGAAAATGGCCAATTAGTAAACCTATTTGAGGTTTGAAAGTGACATTCTGCATAGGTACTAATTAGGATTAAAGATTCTCTTTTTGATGTGTGCTTTTTCAATTATCTCTTGGAAAAAAAAAACTTCTTAAAAGGGATGACAACTAAAAGTAAGACAACTTACTTCACACATTAGATCAGTGATGGGAAGGAAGAATACACTGATTAGAACTGAACTTATATTCATAGATCTGGTCCCGGCACAGGTAGGCTCTACCTGTGAGGGTATCTCCATTGGACTCCGCCTGGAGGCTTACCCACAGAGTGTCTGCTCGTCGCTGGCCTTCTCCAGGGTGGCAGTGCCACTTCTACATGCTAAGGACATATATACCAGCTCTATTCTGGTCCAAGTTTAATAACCACAGCTTCTGCTCTTACATACTGAAGTTTAGCAAAGATCTAAAAGTGCTTTGTCACCCAAATGTATCAGTGTTTTTCAGCCTGGGGATGTAGTCTTCAGAGGCACAGCCTTTTCTTTCTCCTCCACCACTGCTCCTCTCTTTCCTTTTTGTTACAACTGCTGTCCCCAGCTTGTCCTCATTCTCCTCTGTAGATATCCTCTGCCCTCTTCTCCCTTGTTTGTTTATCTTCTGTGATGAATAAAAACCATCACTATTTCTTATTGCTGGTCGCGAAAGAGAAAACCTGTCACCTCTGAAGATGTGGAGGGACGGGGGGGGGGGGGGGGGGGGGGGGGGCAGCCCTTTGTAAACCCTCAGGGGGCCATGCAAAGTGTTTGCTCGTTTTGATTCCTTTTTTCTCCACCTGATTGGAGCAAAGGCATTTCTCTCTACTCTCCTCTCTCTCTCTCTCTCTCTTTCTCACAGTCTAGAACTAAATGACTTGACCTCTCGGGATCTCTGGTACCTCCTCTGTAAAAGGAAGTAGATCTACCTCTAACATTGTATTAATTGACTGACTGATCCGTTCAATAAATATTTGTCCTACTGATCTAAGTACTTCAGGTAACAAAACCAAAGATCTGCACATTTGGATACCTCGAGGACCGTAGTTAATAACCTGTGAGTGAAAATATCTTTTTTAATTCGATTAATGAGGCTCTATAAACAATAAGTCCTCATTATTATCCTTGCCTGGGAGTGTCTATTCTCTAGCTACACTTCTGCAAATATCACCTATTTTCCACTTCAGGTGGTAACTTCTTGGTTGCTGGCAGAACAAAAGGATTCACAATGCTACTGGAAAGAGTCATCTATGAGACATCATTGTAGAGAGAGGAATTCAAGTCACAGTTGAACGTCTTATGTGTGGGCTTGTGCTCCTAGATGCAGTCTTTCTTTCTCACACAACTGTTCGAGGAGGTGCCACCTACTCAACTTTACAACTAAACTCACTCTTTCTTTTATGTGTATTAGGGACATATGTCAAATGTGGTAGTGGAATTAGGAATTACATTATAACTGAATTGATGTGAAAATATTTTGTGTTCTCATTTTAAGTATTTTATGCATATCTACCTTTGCAGAGCATTCACTAAGGAAGGAACTGGTATTGAGTGAGATAAGCATTAAAAAAAGATTAGTTCATAACCAGTTAACTGCCATGCGTCCAAAACGGAAACCATCCCTACACACCACGATATTTTGAATTTAATTTAAAAAATCAATTTGCAATGAATATTATAAAAATAAATGTATTACTCACAATTCAGGTGTTCTTGAATATTTTCAGCTGAAAATTCTCATGAAAAAATGATTTTAAAGTTGGCAGGGCTGCCACTTAGGGAAAACATTTTTTTTATAGACGCACGTGGCGTGTGGGGAAGGTCCACCGCTTGTGTCTACAGACGCTTGTGGCGTACAATGGGTGAATGAATATACAGTGGGCTGGCTTAAATTCTAGTTTTACATCTCAATTAAAAGGACTGATTAAAATATGAATTGGCATTTGATTCCTACAGTTTCCACCTAGCGCCTGTGGCTCTGATTGTGAACACCGTAAAGCAATTGCATCAACATCGTTTAGAACACAATTTCTGCTCTTTCCCTGAAAGGCTGGCGAGGCCCTAAGTTCCCTGGCAGAGGGGCTTCTGTGAGTATGTGCATGTCTGTATGTAGGTTACTGTGAGTCTGTCTGAATTAGGGCAGTCCTCCTGGTAGCCACAGCTGCCTCAGGAGACTACTTTAATTAGGTAAGTTCTAGGACAGCTATGTGACATAATTAGCAGCAAAATGGCTTAAGACTATAATTTCACTAGCTATTAAAGTAAAAGACTTGTAACCGTGCTTTGCTGTGATGTATTTCTTACAAATTCTTCAAAATGTTAAGTCCTCTCATTATAATAATTGTATGGTTGATTAGTCTTCCATCTAGTGGCTATATGAGTCTGGGAGA